GGTAGTAAGTGGAAAGGGTGACTCCACAACCATACCTTCCCTTCGCCCTTGAACTTGTTTTTTGCTGCATCCCTTGGTGGAGGCTGGGATATATTTTACTTCCATACTTTTAGTCCATCATTCTTATGAAATACATTCTTCAATTCAGTGAAATTGTTGTTACAGGTACAGTGCTAAATGCAATAAGAGGGAAAAGTATATTATTTTAGGTACTATCTTCTATACTTATCTTTGTTGTAAATTTCCTTATCTATTTGCATTGGCCATAGAAACATTTACTTGAAATTCCTAATGTTAGTTTTTATGCAAAAGGTTTATAAAATATAAAAAGGATTTTTAAAATCAGTAAATATCTCCAACTGCATTTACCCTTACTCCTTATTTATGTTATTTTATTTTATTTTTTGGTTATAAAAATGTGCACATATATCCTGAAAAACAAAAGTCTTTCAGTTGGGGATTTGTAGATGTAGAAATCAAGGAAACACATTTTTGTTCGGCAGAAAATATAATTTTACGAGTAAATGCAAGAATGTGCTATGCAAGTACAGCATCATTAATGAGTTCTTACTGTTGAAAGGATGTTCTGGAAAGCAAGATAAGCATTTGTCAGATGTTGATGGGCCTGTGCCAAATCTTAGATTTAAAGGTATATTTGCAGAGAAATGTAGATAACTACCAATCTATGCCAAGAGTTTTAAAATATCTTCTTTACTTGAGTGAAATACAATGTAAAATTGCATTATATTGCAAATTAACAATGAGCAACCCCTTTGTTTTCATGCAGAATTCAGGAGTTAGACTTTGATATTTGTGTGGCATTTGACCAAATGAGAAAAATTATATGTTTAAATGTTAATGTTGACCTTAATGGACATGTATGAATCTATATATACATAAACCGTTTACAAAAAAAATGTGTAACTTCTTTATTGCCTTGGAACTATTTACCTGTGACAACAAAAGTCAATTTCTTTTTTAAAATATATTTTATCATTCAGGCTATTCCAGTTGTCCTAATCTTTCCCCTTTTGCCCCCCTCTCCATGAGCCCCGCCCCCACTCCCTCAGGCAGTCTCCACACCATTTTCTATGTCCATGGGTCATGCATATATAGTCACAAAAGTCAGTTTTAAAAAGTATGTAAAATGCTTTTCAAATAGAAACTACAACAAAGAATGACACTTGTCACACACTGAAGATTCATGGGGGAGGGGTTGAGATTTAAAGCACAGACGAAGGAGCTGTAATGTCTACACTTTTTACTTCCTAGATAAGAATTTATTACAATTACATAAAATCTTTATTTTTCAGAAGGAAATCTACTAATTCGCATTTTTAATTTATATCTTTGTACTCATATCTTTTCCATTATTTACTTTGAAGCCCAGCATTTCTAAGAGACTTGAAAATATTCTCATTGTAGTGATGGGTAATTCATTAGTTCCCGACTTTGAGCTTCCTGTATGCGTGCTTACTTCCTGAAGGGATTTAGGGCTGTAAATCTTGGAATACTTGTTAGTTTAGTCCAGTGAATTCTTCTCTCTTTGAGAACACTCCCTCACATATTGATATGTGTGGCATGTACCACATTTTGCTTGGGTGGGGACTGGACTGGCTAATGGGAGTGGGACAGGGCACAGGATGACTAGAGTGACACTTTCTAACAAGGAGCACCACCTCCAGTCCACCACATCTGCACACGGAGGACCTGGACCCAGGGAAACGGACTCCATAGGAATCACCATCATCCCTACTTCCTGTATCCCGAGCGGGTCTAGATAGGCAACCAGACAGTTTTTTCTCTCTATCTGTCCACAGATAGATACCACGAATGCATAAACTTGAAATATGAACTTGGTAAGCTAGATTTTTATAATTTGTGTTTGACCTTTTATGTGCTGTGATTTCAGATGGAACTTTAAGGCTTGAGCTCAACTTTTCTTTTTATCTAATATTCTATTAATATACTTGAAGACTTCCTTAGTAGAGAATAAAATATTTAAATTTGCTGCTTTAAATAATTGATTTATGATTTTATCTGATGTTATTTATGATTCTTATTTATGAAATTACTATAATTATATTTATTTTTAGTGTGTTGTATTCACAGTGTTTATTCTCACTATAGAACCAGTTCAAAATTATTATTAATAGCTAGTAATTACTAAGTGTTTAGCATTGTTCTAAATGCTTTACATGTATTACCTCTTTTTTTAATTTTTATTTTATTGATTATGCCATTACATTTGTTCTATTCCCCCCTTCATTCCCCTCCATGCAGCACCCCCCTACCCCCACCATTCCCCCCCTTTAGTTTATGACCATGTGTCTCAAGTTCTTTAAATTCTGTATTTCCCATACTATGCTTGCCCTCCCTCTATCTATTTTCTATCTACTGTCTATGCTACTTATTTTCTGTACCTTCTCCCCCCTTCTCCTCCTCCCACTCCCCTGTTGCTAACCCTCCATGTGATCTTCATTTCTATGGTCCTGCTCCTGATCTAGCTGTCCTTTCAGTTTGCTTTTGTTTTAGGTGTGGTTGTTAATATCTATGAGTTTGCTGTCCTTTCACTGTTCATATTTTTTATCTTCTTTTTCTTAGATAAGTCCCTTTAACATTTCATATAGTAAGGGCTTGGTGATGATGAACTCCTTGAATCTGATCTTATCTGAGAAGCACTTTATCTGCCCTTCCATTCTAAATGAAAGCTTTGCTGGATGGAGTAATCTTGGTTATAGGTGTCTGGATTTCATCACTTGGAATACTTCTTTCCAGCCCCTTCTTGCCTGTAAGGTCTCTGTTGAGAAATCCTCTGACAGTCTGATGGGAACTCCTTTGTAGGTGACTGTCCCCTTATCTCTTGCTGCTTCTAGGATTCTCTCTTTCATTTTAATCTTGGCTAATGTAATGATGATGTGCCTTGGTGTGTTTCTTCTTGGGTCCAACTTCTTTGGGATTCTCTGAGCTTCCTGGGTTTCCTGGAAGTCTATTTTCTTTGCCAGATTGGAGAAATTCTCCTTTATTATTTGTTCAAATAAGTTTTCCACTGGTGGCTGTTCCTTTCCCCCTTCTGGTACCCCTATAATTCAGGTGTTGGAATGTTTAAAGATGTGCTGGAGGTTTCTAAGCCTCTCCTCATTTTTTTGAATTTGTGTTTCTTCATATTTTTCTGTTTGGTCATTTTTTTCCTTCCTTTCAGTTCACTCCCTTGATTTGAGTCCCAGTTTTTTTTTTTCCATCACTACTGGTTTTCTGTGCAATTCCCTTCATTTCAATTAGTTTAGCCTCATGTGTTCCTCTAATTCGTGACTAAAATCAAGCAGTTCTGTGAGCATCCTGATCCCCAGTGTTTTGAACTGTGCATCTGAAAGTTTTTTTATTTCTTCATCGCTTAGAGTTATGGGCTCTGGGGCTTTGAGTTCTTCCTGAGCCATTTTTGGTCTGTTCACGCCCATTAAGTATGAGGTGCGGAGCCTTAGATGTTCAGCAGGGTGGGGCCACCCAGGTTGCTAGGTCATGACGCTGTATGTGGGGGCGGGGTCAGAGCCGGGAAATGGTGGCCCCCTCTGTTGCCTCCTGCTGCTCAGGCCTGCTCGGTCCCATCTCACTGTCCACTCCCTCGCTGGTCTATCTGCACAGGAATGCGCGACCACAGTCAACCCGCCACCCTATGCCCTCACTGGGTCACCGGTCACTCACTGGGCCACTCACTGGGTCCACCCATTGCAACCCCACGCCTGGGATCTGTGCCTGAGTTCGTCTGACGGAGTTTTCTTGTGCTACCCCGCTCTGCCAGCTGCTGGCTTCGCCCCTCTTACCGGTCAGGCTGAAGAATTCGTTGTTATCAGACTTCCAAAAAGTTCAATTTTCTGTGTTCTGGCTGTGTTTTCTGTTGCTAATATTTTGTTGTCTCTGAACTTGGTTGTGTGAGAAAGCATGGCGTCTCCACCCATGCCTCCATCTTGGCAGAAGTCCATGTATTACCTCTTTAAGTCCCCAAATCCATACTAGTATCTTTACCTATAAAAAGTGGAGTTGAAAATTCAATAAAATTTTTTTAACTAGACCAAAAATACGTAACAACTAATGGAAGAACTGAATTTCAAATAAAAATGTTTTTTCTCAGTTGCCTAATTATTACAAAATCACTGTAAATCTACTAGTAGTGATTAAAAAGAATTAATTGTTTAACAGCAATGGAAATGACATTATGCAAGTCACATAACATTCACAAAATTAAAATGACCTACATCTAGCCAATATAGCCAGTATTAGAAAACTCTATGAAATATAGAGAAACTTTGCTTTCTTTTGCCCTTGCTCCTCTAAGGAGGAAGTGGAGAAATATGTTCAGCATTGCCCCATTCCGACAGAGGTCCCTAAAACAGGGCATATTTGCATGGTGCAAGCAACCCGATTGAACCTGAAGCATGGATCAGTGAGAAAGAAAAGAAAGTGATATTTCCCTGAGCCCTCGATTCCTAGAGGGGAAAGCCATGGATGAGGACAGAGAGGGAGTCACAGGTTGGCATGGCTGGCTCATATTCCTGTCCCATGAACCTTGTGATCCTTACCCAGCTGCCCTCACAAACTCAGCTGTGTCAGCAGAGCAAACAACAAACCAAATGTCAAACACCATCCATTATAAGTAACTATAAGCATGACAAAAACATCTTAAAATAAAAAATTTTGACTCTATCCTTTTAAGGTTAGTGTGCACATACCCTCCTACTGAGAAGCCTTTTTATAAATAAAATTTGAATTTGTTATTTCACTGGAATGTTCCAGCTAGTTCTTAAAAAGAGAGTCACAATCTTCTTTCAAGTCATTCCCATATGCTATTACAATGGTGATTTATAATTCTGGTTTTAAAATACCTTCTAATGTCTGCAGTTATCTCAAAAGATGCCATAAACTTTTCAAAATGTTCCCAAACAAAAATGCTGAAACATCTCTAGAGGGATGTAAAAATAACGTATCCACTTTTCTCTTTCCAGAATTATATAATGCCAAGCTATAAACTCACGTATTTTAATATGAGGGGGAGAGCTGAAATTATTCGTTACATATTTGCATATTTGGATGTAAAATATGAAGACCACAGAATAGAACAAGCGGATTGGCCTGAAATCAAACCAAGTAAGTAGCACAAATAATAGTTGATAAAAATGTAGGGAAAATATGTTTTCAGAATGTTTACTTTCCTCAGGTAAATGAAAAAAATTAAGGATTTTAATGTCACATAGCTTTATATTGAGAAACAGCAGTTCAGGCAAGTTAAATAAATGCTATAAGGCCCAGAAAATTTCGTGTTAGAGATAAAAATACAAACATTGCAGAAAGAGAATATAAAGATCTATCTTTATATGAATAAAGATGAAGTTTTGTCATAAGAGCTGAAATGGGGGAATACCAAAGTCAATATTCTTGGCAACTGGAGTGGATGGGGTTTTTACTAATATTTATATAATGTTTTGTCAGTGGTCAGATGTGCTGCTCCAGCAGAAAACCAACTCAAAATGGCTTAAATAATAAGGAAATGAATTGTATCACATAACTGAAAATCCAGAAGTAGAACAGGTTTCAAAGGATGGCTGTAACCGTTTTCCCCCTCTGGGTATTGGCTGCCTCATGGGCCTGCTGCAGTGTGTGGGCTGCAGCCCCGGCAGCAGAACCCTGAACAGCAGTGATAAGAGGATACAGGAGGAAGAGTAAGAGAGAAAACTACTTTCATTAATGTCTCCAGAAGAATGAAGAAAAAACTTTTCTAGAGGACCTCAGCTAATTTCTCATGTCTCACTTGGCTCATACTGAGACACATGTCCATTTCTGAATCAGTCATTGGCAAAGGGGATGGGAAGAACCTTAGAACCCTCTAGTTCCCCACTGAGTTGGGGATGGAATCAATTTTTATGAGGCATGTGACTATATGAAAGAGGGTGGATATGCAAACAAAACTGGGATCTGCTTGATGAGAGAAAAGAACAAATGGGCAAATCAGGCTGGTAACCCAATTAAACCATTCTACTTAGTGCTCAGGACAATGAGGAAGAATTGGAGCTATCATTACACTGAACAAACAACAGTGTGTGTTCTCAGGAAGCTGTAAGTCATCTGTTAGCTATGTTACATAGAAATACTAACTAAATATTAATGATATGCATGTAAAATCCACATATTTCTGACTGGATTGTTATAAAATCACATAGAGATGAAGATAAAGAAAACAACTATTGAGTACTTGAAGATTATCTGGCACTTGGTAGATACTCTACAGACTCAACTTCATCTAATTTCTCTAGCATTTCTACATGGAATGCATTGTTATTTCTGTTTCATAGTTGGGATAACTATAAGCACATGTAGTTTAGGTAATTTTTCCAAGGTCACAACCTTAGCAAGGTAGAGTTGATTTTTAAACACCAGTCAATTTGATACTAGGGCCCAAGTTTCTTGCACTTGTAGATAATCCCAACAACAATAATACCATGACAAATGCTATATTAGCAATAAATATTTCTACATTCCCTTTGGAAGCATGAGTTCCTTAAAAGTCATTGCCTCTGTATCACTTTTTTCTTATAGAGAATTCTTCTCTGCTAGGATAGAATATTTTATTTTCTGTTTTCATGAAAGTTTGTTATTAGTGTCCAAATATTTCTTCCAATATCAGAATTTTTATGTAGGGTTTTTAACTCTGTGAACATAATTAAGTCAAGATGGTTTTCAAGTTGTGGAAATAATGCATGTAACAAATTACCCATTTTATTTATTTATTTGTTTGTTTGTTTATTTATTTATTTTAGTTTTTATTTATTTGTTTTTAGAGAGAGGGGAAGGGAAGGGAAGGAGAAAGAGAGGGAGAAAAACATCACTGTGTGGTTGCCTCTCATATGGCCCCCAGTGGGGACCTAAACCAAAACCCAGGCATGTGCCCTGACTGGAAGTTGAACCAGTGACCCTTTGGTTTGCAGGCCTGCACTCAATCCACTGAGCTACACTAGCCAGGACCAAATTACACATTTTAGATATAGGGTTTTAGAATGCCTTATATCCTATTTTACCTTAACTTTTCCTTATGTTATTGAAAATAGAATCGCTGCATTTTGTTAATATTTTTATAAAAGTGAAAGGAATCTTAAAGTTTGTGATGGCTATGTTATAGTTTCAAATAACAGCAACCCAACACAAAAATAGTTGAAATAGAATAAAAATTTGTATTTTTTGCATATCTCTCAATTATATACAGTGTAATTTAATTTTTTCAAATATATGTGGGAAAGCAATTAAATACTAAAATGGTTATAATTATGTGGTATGCTATTTCATTTATCTTTAATATAGAATTTTTCTATGTTACTTTCTGACAAAAATATGTTTAGATTACAAAACAAAGACTTACAGATAAAATATTAATATGATGTCTGCTATGAGTCTGTCCTATATTTGTATAAATATGTTTACTGCCTTACTCTATAGTTTAAATAGTCCCTCATCAAAAAATGATTTGATTTTTTATTATTTATTTATCGTAATACTGTATTGCTTGTGCTACCACAGTTGTCCCATTTTTCCTCCTTTGACCCTCTCTACCCAGCCCACCCTCCACTTCCTCAGTCAATGCCCACACTGTTGTCTGTGTCCATGGGTCCTTCGTGGATGTTCTTTGACCAGTCCCTTCATATTCTTTTAGTCAGTCCTCACCTCCACACTTCTCTCTTGACGGCTATCAGTCTGTTCCATGTTTCCATGCCTCAAGTTCTATTTTACTCATTAGTCTATTTTGTTCATTAGATTCCTCTTTTAAGTGAGATGATAGAGTATTGTCTTTCACTGACTGACTTTTTTCACTTAGCATAATAGTCTCCAGTTCCATCCATGCTGTTGCAAAAGTCAGAAATTCCTTCTTGTTTTCTGTTGCATAGTATTCCATTGTGTAAATACACCCCTGGTTTTTTATCCACTCCTCTACTTATGGGCACTTGGGTTGTTTCCAAATCTGACTATTGTAAATAGCATTGCTATGAACACAAGGGTGCATAAATTGTTCTGAACTGGTGTTTTGGCATTCTTAGTGTATATTCCCATGAGCGGAATTGCTGGGTCAATACAAAACATGATTTTCTACATCATAACTCGACATAAGTCAAACTCTCCATGTTACTCAGACTATGGCTTTAAAGAATAATTAATGTGACCCTTGATTAAGGCCTGAAAATTAATGAAGCATTAAAAAGAAAGGTTTTTTAAAGAAATTAAATAAGCATATATAAGTATATGAAATAATATGTGATATAATATAGAGTTTCACTGTAAACCTGGGCTTTAAACCTGGTTCTGTAATTAACTTTATAGTAGGTCTTCTAACAAACAACTCTATTTTTTAAAACTTAAAAAAATGTAAAGATTTTATTAGCAGGTGCTTATGTCCCATTTAGAATAAATATTCTTCAAGAATTCCATTATTTTAAGCAACTCTACCTCAGTTGGTTAGAGTGTTGTCTTGACACCCCCAGATTGTAGGTTCTATCCCCGGTCAGGGCACATACAAAAATCAACTAATAAATGCATAAATAAGTGGAACAGCAAATCAATGTCTCTCTCTCTCTCCCTCTCTTTCTCCTCTCTTTCTCTCCCCTTCCTCTCTCTCTCTAAAAAATCAATAAGTACAAATTTTTTAAAAATAAAATTATGCTTTGTTTTCACAATTATCAGTAAACAATGAAAGTATTTTAACTTTTTATTTTATTATGAAAGTTGATTATTTGCTTGTTTTTATTTTAAGCTCTTCCATTTGGCAAAATCCCCATTTTGAAAGTCGATGGAGTTTATCTTCACCAGAGCCTAGCAATAGCAAGATACTTGACCAAAAACACAGGTAACATGTTTATTGTGTTTTAGGATTTTTATAACAGATATTATATATATATATATATATATATATCCAGTATTCATTAAGTAACTTTATTATTGAACAGTAGTGCAAAGAAGAATGAACTCAATGCTACAGAAGTATGCATGTACCATATGTCCTGATTTAACTTTCTTTTCTTTTTCTTCTTTGTGCTTCAACACAGTTTATTTCTCCTCTAATTGAGGCATTAACTTTGAAAAAAACATTGATTAGAATATAAGCAAGTGATGTCTCTGGAAGTAGAAAGGAATCTTACTAAGAAAGTAAGTTTCAGGAGATAAAAGCAATCTTTAGTTTATAAAGTGAGTTTTCCATTCCATCCCTGAAGGGCTTGCCTGTTTTTGAGAAAGAACACCAAAACACTTTTGTTTGGGCAAAAACATGCCCTCTGTCAGCTGGAGCTGAGTGACAGAAGCAGCCTACATGGGTAGCTTCTCCATCTGGCCAAGTCCCACCTCCCAGGGCTGAGCACGGACACGTGGTGTTTACTGACAGCTAGGAGAATCTTCATCACTCTGTGTGCCGTTCCCATGAGCTCCCTTGCCTGTCAGTTATTGCCCATCTTACTCATAGATGGGAACTAAGGAGTCCCTTCTTGAAAAGATATAAAAGATGTCCATATGGAGAGAACTCAGATAGTAACATAACTTGTATAAGGATGTGAAATCTGTTCCAAATAGTCCTTGTGGAAGTATCTCTTCCTTATTCTTTTTGTCTCTGAGTGTAATTTGCACCGCTTGGTGGGTGGGAGGGGAGGGCGTTGCTCTTCTAGTGCCACCTTGCTGTTCACCACGGAGGTAACACGGATCCAATTGGTTCAAATCCACATTATGGTTTCTATATCTTTTTTCATGATTTTGAGTATCCTTATAATCATTACTCTAAACTTTCTATCTGATAAATTGCTTGTCCCCATTTCATCTAGTTCTTCTGAAAAAATCTTTTGCTCTTTTGTTTGGAATCTGTTTCTTTGTCTTTCCACTTTGGCTGTTTTTTTTTTTAAATTTTATTTGTTTCTATGTATTAGGTCGATTGTAAAGGCCCTGGTGCAGGTCCTTTTCAGAGGACGTTTGTGACTGGCCCTGGGCAACCTGTTTGAATCTATCAAGGATCCACAGTGTGTGCCTCCCTCTGCTGGGCCTGTTTGTGTGCAGAAAGAACCTGGCTGCACACTAAGATTGGCTTTTACCAGCCCCTGCTCCAGGGGAGGGTCAGCTAAAGTCTCAGAGATCCACCTTAGTTGTTTATCAGTGATATAGCCCTAAACTGTAATCGACAGCCTGGTAAACTCCACAGTGTGGGACAGAATAGTCCCTGGGATTATTGCTTCCCTTCAGGTGGGTGCCACTTGGAGAGGAGTGCTCTGCCTGAGAAAGGCGGCCTCCGCAGTGTGGGGAATGACTCAGCACCGGAAACCTGGCAGCTGTTCCTCCAGTTCTGTCCCCAGAGCCACCAGCCCCAGACTCTCCTCATACGTCTCTAGTCCACTCTGCTCCCGACTCTGGCAGAGCCCAGGATAAGTGGTTGCAAACAAAATTTTGTGCACTGGCTTTAAGAGGCTCTCTTAGTCTCCAGCCATCTCTCCCTGGCAGACAGAAACCCTGCTGTCTTTCTTGGCTGGATGGTCTCTGAGTTCCTTTCCTGGCTGTGCTGCTGTAGGTTGGGGAGCCCAGCTTGGGGTATAGACCCCACATTTCTCAAGGGATCCCTCTGGCCACTAAAATATTCCTTGGGCACCTTTTTGTCTCTGTGTGATCTTTCAGAGGTTTCTTCATCTTATTTTTAAATAAAAATTATTAAATTAAAATTCTTTAAATTCTATGACTAATCTATTAACAAGTAGTAAGAATCTACTTAAAATTCAAAGATAGCAATTGCCATATTTCTACATAGGGAGCATATATGTTATTCTACACAATTGCATGAATGTATCAAGTATTGGTCATTTAATAAGACAAGACCTAGTCATCTCTTCTTGTCCTTACTCTCTAAAGTCTAAATCATATAGGTTAATGTGGATCATCTTGGAGATGTGTGAAGCCAGTTTTACTTTTTTCTCATCTTGGTTTCTGGCCTTGAGACTGTACCAAAATTTTTCTCCTTTCTTTCCAGATTTCCTCCTGAATCTCTTCTAATCCTCTATTTCCCACTCTTCCCCTTCTGCTCCCCACCTCCCTTCCCACTAATTTCATCTAGGCCCATTTTCTTCTTCTCCTTTTCCTTCAGGCCACCTAATGCCATATTTTAACTCCTAATTCTAGCCATCAGTATCTTGATCAGCAGAGTTTACTTTATTAGGAGTTGTTTTTGAAATGTGGGTGACTGGGAAAGCATCATAGTGTCTTTGAAGTTAATATGATCTTGAGTGCCTGCTTAGTTCAAAGCCCGTGCTAAAGACTAGGAGAGGAGACATTATGTTTGCTCTGTCTATCACTGGTTATAAGGCTTCTCTCCAGCTAGTGTTTAGTTGGTTACTCAGGATAACTTCTCTGCAATTTAGTTGCAATTCCACATTACAATTGGTCCTGGGAGGAGGTTAGTGGAGCTTCCACTTACTCATCCGCCATCTTGGATCTCTGTCCTGATTTAACTTCCCATGAGTTTCCTAGACAATTAATTTTATTTTATATCGCCCACTTCCCTTCCTGCCACACACCTCCTTGCTCCCAAAGTTTTACTGGAAGTAAAACTTCCAGTTTTACTTTCAGCTGGAAGTAGCTGAAAAATTGGACAAGTATGTCTGAAACTGTTCTTGCTAGCATATGGATCATAAGTGGATCAAAGATGATTAACAGGAAATGTATAAGGTATATAAAGTTTGAAATTCTTTAGACCATTTAAATCATGTACTCAAAGTTCTTCATCCTAATCACACTGAAAAAAATGGAAGAGGCTGTTTGCTTTGCTTCCAGCGTTGATAAAGAGAAATGGAACTGTTAGTTCTGGTCTTTGCCTGAAGCCCTTCCTCCCACCCTACATTCTTTTGTCTTCCCAGGCCCTAACATTGTTTTTGAGGAAAAAGCTACATTTGGCTTCTTTTAAAGTCTTCTTTTCCTAATCAGTCTACAGAATCGCCGTGCCCTGATTCCAGGCCTATAACCCCGCAGCCCTGCTGCAGCTGCTGTGATCCAAGCCACAGACACACGTTTGGCTCACAAGTAAAACAGGTCATAATTACTGGGCCTTTACTTCCAAACCAAAGTAATGCGTGTATGTTAAAAATAAAAAATTTCTATGCGCTAACACATATTTCAACGAATTAAATTCTTTGGAAGTGTAGAAGACATGGAGCTTACTTCTGACTTTATGGAAATTTGACTTTGAAATGAAAATGACATGTGAATTGAGCATAAAGGATACCTAGAATTTCAAAAGGAAGACTTGGGCTTGGGAAGTGTTTCTCAAAATTTATATGTGTCAGGATAACCTGGGGGCTCCTAAAACACAGGATGCTCTCCCCTGACTTCAGAGGTTGTGATTCAGTAGTCCCAGGGTGGGGCCCCACCGTTCGCACTCCTAACAGTTTTCTCCGTGATGCTGATGCACATAATGCAGCTGGTCCATGGACTTCTCTTTGAGAATCTCTGGGTTAGAACATTCCAAGCAGAGAGAAAATGGCATAAGACGAAGAACACTTTAAATTTGCAGAATGGAGTAGCAGAAAGAGGTAGAAAAATAGATTGGGATCTGGTAAGAAATATTCAGAGTATGGATGTCATTTTTAAGCAATTGTATGTTTTTTAAATTGAGACATATCTAGCATTTAATATTATATTAGTTTCAGGTATATAATATAATGATTCTATAAATTTATATATTGATAAATGATCTCCATAATAAATATAGTTAACATCCATCACCACACATAGTTACAAATATTTCTTATGGGACTTGTTGAAGGAAGTTCAGTGGCCAAAAGGATACACAGCACACTATCCAAAAGGAGGCTGAGCCAATGGTCCTGGGCTTTAGGACTAAGTGTTGATAAGGACTCATCTGCATAAAATTGATAGCCAAAGCCTTGAGCATAGAAGTGAATGTATGGATGAAAACAGGTGAAGAGAATCCATGATGTATTTGGAAGAACTTTCCAAAGTCAGAAGGTCAGCCTCTGAGTATCACATACACAAAATACAGAGAGTTTATAGAAGGACTGTAAGACACTAAAGCATTTCTTTCCCTTTAATAGCTTTGCTGAGGTGTGATTTACATATTATTTACTCATTGTCAGTGTACACTTCCTTGATTTTTAGTAAATATACACAATTGTACAGAAGCAATCTATTTTAAGTTCTTCCACAGTGAAGGGTTTTAAATTGACACCAGTGAGAAAATATTTAGGATGACCAATGATTTCCTAGCGCAGTGATGATTAATGAATGGCAAGAAAGAAAAAAACACTTCTATTATTTTAAATGTATAGTTTCTAGAAACAAATGTTCTTCACGAAAATTGTCTGCAAAAATGAAAATAATTATTTTTTTTACAAAATAAATGAAGAGATATATATATATATACAGGTTATTTATCTTGGTATTTCTTGTATTTTCGAAAGATTGGAAGCAACCTAATCAGTGGGAGGTAAATAAATTGTAGCACTTCTACATGGAATCACATGGAGCCAATGAAATAGCAAGGACGGCCTTAAGTAACTTGTAAAAAAAAAATCTCTAGGAAAAATGGGAGAGGTACAGATGGAGTGGGATATTATTCTTATTTTCAGAATGAAACAGTGAAAGGATACAAAGGAAACTAATAAAAATGGGGTAGTAAGTAGGAGTAAAATGAGGTGGACAGGGACGGGGTGGAAGTTAGTCTTCACTGTCTACCACTTCAAATTGTTTTGAATTTGTGAACTATATGCATATATTGTGTATTTGAAAACCGGTGTTTGAATATGACAAGTTAAATCGAACATATTTGTGAGCATAAAATGGCCTCTCCCTATTCCACAGATTTGGCTGGAAAAACAGAACTGGAGCAGTGCCAGGTTGACGCTGTTGTGGACACACTGGATGACCTCATGTCACGGTTCCCCTGGGCTGAGAAAAGACAAGACGTAAAAGTAATCACACCCCTTGCCAGACATTATGTTAGGTGCTTTTTAAGTCCCTCTTTATCAAAGTTAGACAAACTTATAGTTTAAAAATATCAAATTATATTAAAAAGTTTAAAACAAAGTACAGTGATTCTTTGCCTAACTTCTCCGTAATAACCCCTAAAATGAAATCTAATTTTTAATGCTTTTAGCTGTTTCTTTAGGATTTTCACATCTCCATACTTCTATAAGATATGTAAAACGGCTTACTTTGATTCACTAATATTAGATTCTATGAGCTTTTTATTATAGTGTAAGAATTTCACTCATATATAGTCATTCTCTCTGCTTCCTGTTCCCCTAACTACTGATATAGTTGTCTTAAAAATTTTTGGTGAAATCACTATTCAGTGATTACATTAGTGTCCCCATGCTGTGCATTGTAGTATACTTTGATATCTGTTTTCTCACTTTCCTCTTCAAAGTTAGTAATTGTCTTTCATTTGCTTTGTTTTTGTTAAAGCTTCCCACACTATCCAACAGCCTACCAATGCAATTATCCACAGAGTCTGTGATATGATATTCGATTATTTCCATTATCGTCTTGGTGACATGCAGCCAGACCCCTTCACTGTCCTCTGCAGAGCCCTTCACTGTCCCCTGCAGAGCTACTGAGGCTTCTGAACCACGGTCAGCATCACACTTTCCTTCGCTGCCATCCCAGCTGCATCTTTCCCTTGAGTTGGACTCCTGTCTGCTGGATGCCGTGCTCTGTCTTTTTCCCCTCCTTTGTTTATGTGGGGCACAGCCTCCAGCATTGCCAGGGTTAAAATAAAGTCTTGATGACAGGAGATATGATGAGGGAAGGCAGTATGGATGGGTCCCTCTACGGAGACTCTGGTTTGGTTGCCTCATGCTGCTGGTACACCACTGTCATCCTGGAATCTCTATTGTCATTTTGGATGCTTCTTTTGGTCATTCCCTGGGCTCATTCTTCTGGTTTCTGTCCTTGTTAAGTGGAACAATCCTCTGACAGCTTACTGAACACAGGAAAAGTTTGGGGCCTTTCAGCTTCATATGCAGTTCATAATTTGGCTGGGTATAGAATTCTGTGTTGAAAGCAGTTTTTCTTGAGTATTTGGAAAGCACTCCTCTATGGTCTTCTAGCTGTTGAGAAGTTGGAATCTGATCCAGTTACTGATCTTTTGGATGCCACCTTTTCCTCTCTCTGAAAGCTGGTGGACCGCTGGCCCTACACTCTGAAACAGCATGGTGGTTGGGCTGTGATCCTATGTTACTCACTGGGCTATCTCTTTTCTGGGCCCCGTGAAATCTGGGAATTTATTTCTAGAGATTACCTTTAATTATTTTACTGATAATTTTTCCCCTCTTCTTTGATCCATTATATCAGAATTCTCATTATTCAAATAGTGGATCTTTTCTCTGTTTCCCATTCTTTTTTGTTTGTTTGGAGGCTTTTGGTATTACTTTCAGGAAGAATTCTTCAACTTTATTCAATAACCCTTCTCTTGAGTTCTAAATGTCTGATATTGTGCTTTTAAATTGTTAGGAAGTCTTTCTATGATGTGATCTGTTTTCAAAAATAATATTTTGTATTTATTTAATGGATACAATATCATCTCCCTACCTGTTATATGTTGGTTAAAAGTTGCCACTTTCCTCTTTGTTTTGGTCTCTGTCTTTCTCCAGGTCTCAGACCACCATTTATAATCCATGATGAAGAGTAGAAAAATTTAGAAGTTTACTCATAAAAAAAGTTTACTCACAGTTCTCAGCATGTGGATGCAATTTGTTGATTTTTAGCATGACTAGGCCATTTGAAGGGCGAATACTTCTCAATATCACTATCCTCAAGTATCCCCTCTGGCACTAGAAAGAATACTAGAGGAAACTCTCGGTCTCCTGCCCAGAGACACAAAGGCCCGGCTACCAGTGCTCTTGGGAGACAAGAAGCAAAGAGAGAGCTCCGAGTCTCAGAAGTTGACATTGAGTATACATGCGTTCATTTATACTCCTTATTTTAAAAACATCATGTACGACAACTCCCAACCTTGAGATCATCGGTGGCACCCTTTCCAGCCTTCTGCTAATGTGTCTAGCAGCATAAAATGAAGGAGGAAATCTTATGCTAAAATGACTTTTTTTCAGTTTTCCACCAATCCTCACTTTATCCTTTCCCTTGCCTCCTTACTCCCAGTTCTAGATGTATCCTGCCATTTCCTGCACACTTTGAGAGGTTCATGGGGTAGATAGTGCTAGTTTTCGGCTTTCCCTTCACCCATCTGCTTTACAGCTTCAAATTTTGTTTGCTCATCCCCTCGCCAATTTTCCTCCTCCTTATGGGTTCTATCTTTTCAAAAAGGTGCATTTACTGTAGTTTGGGGAATATATATACATATGTTCCCCATCTTTATCCAGCATTGTAAATAGACCTTGGTTCTTCTCCATTACAGCCTCTAGTGGTTTCCTTTAGGGTACTCATCACAACCCATATTTTAAAATATATTTACTTGTTTGTCTCCTCCAGTAGATCGTACCGAGGGTAAGAATCACCTCTGCATTATTCCCTGGTCAACCTACACGTCTATCTCAGCGCCTTATTTTAGTAGGCGCTTAATATTTCTTGACCGCGTGATAGGAGGAGCTAAACTGACCAAAGGCCCACCAGGGCAGGTGCTGCTCTAAGCACTGCGCATGCACCGTCAGCCCTCCTCCCAGAACAGAAGTGCTTTTTATTGTCATTCTCACGTCACAGGTACAGTAACTGAGAAACTGTGGTCCTTAGTTGCCTATGTCACATAACAGGTCAGCCTGGCTAGAGAACTCTTAGCCTCACCGTCTACACATACTTTCTCCTAAATTAGTGACTAATTCCCAAAGTAGCCCCTTAGGGAGAAATGGTTGTCATCCTTAATTTCCAGATGGAGAAATTCAGCATAATTTTTTAATTTCTGCTTCATGGAGTGTAGGCCACTTCCTAAGGTTATTTAGCCAGTAAGTAGCACACAGGAATTCCAACCCAGTCACTCTGACTCGGAGTCCCTGTTCCTGGCCACCGGGTGCAATGCCACCTGGGCACGAATGCTTTGCACATTTCATAGCGGAAGGCCTACATCCAAAAAACTTTTGGATATAAAACAGAACAGTTGGCAGTTTTACCAATTTAAGCATATTTATTCTAAGCACTGTTTATTTAATAAGGATGTTCTGATTTGAATAGAGATATTTAAAACATGAAAGTATTCACATTTACTAACTCCATGACCTAAATGTAAGGTGCGTGTGTATCTTCACACCCACGACTAATCAGGACGAAGTCTTGAATGAAAGTTCGGCTTTGATGATAGAGATACATTTGGACTCCAGAGTCAGAATGCCAGGCTTGAATCCTGATTCTGTTCTCACTAGTTGTCACTTGACTACCTGTCAATAGTTCAAATTCTTGTCTGTAAAGCAGGGATACCATAGAGTCCACTTGGAAGTGTGTTGGGAGGATTAAATGGCAACAAGTGCCTGTGGCGAGGTAGAAGGTGTTCAATAAACATTAGCTACTATAATTATTACAATGTTGTTGTTTAGCTCTGCGCTCATTTTTTTCTCTTTTGTCAGATGTGACATGTATATTTTATATATCCTTATAAATATAGCACAGACAAATAGACACCTAATCCCCAATTTAGGGAAAGGTATATAAAGATTTTATCCCACATGCCAAAGACCCCACTGATTGGCGGTCTGTCTACCTATGGGCTTACTATGATCTGTGTCTCTGTTTTGTACCTTTCTGTGGCCACCTCACAGAGGAAAATGTCCTGTGAGTGTTTATGATAAGGGTGACATTATGCTATTGTATTAGAATAACAATGCTTTTACATAACATTGACCTCAAAAAATTTTACAGAATATAATCCAAGTTCATGACTAAATCATATGAAGGGGTAATCTGTTTCAGAAATATTGGAAATAGCTACAGACCGATTAATAAGGAGAGCCTGGCTAGTATACAAAGAAAACTGCATAGAGCTTTTGTTCTATCCCCCTAATCTCCTTGTAGTGGGTTGCATTGCTGCCACCTGGTGGTCAGGCAGAATTTTCAAAAGCAGAATATTGATTCAATAAAGATGAGTAATGAATATAGTTCTCTTATTACATGTGCTTTAAAAATCTATCACATATTTTCAGGAGCTACTATAAAGGACACCTGGACAAAACCAAGGGGGAGGGTGGACGCAAAGGAGGGAGGTGGATTTGGCTGGGGTGGGGAGGGAGTGGTGGGGGGAAAATGCAGACAACTGTACTTGAACAACAATAATTTAAAAAATCTATCACATATACATAATCAAAAATGTTTTTATATTTGTTGCTAATAATTTATTTCCTATTTTTAAGTTAATTTACATTTAATTTAAAAGGCAAAATAATGTCTCTGGACATTGGTCACCCTGATAACCTGTCATCTTACCACTACATTTCTCTTTTTTTAATTTTATTTATCTTTAGAGGAGAAGAAGAGGGGGAGGGAAACACATCAATGTATGGTTGCCTCTAATGTGTCCCCTGCTGGGAGCTGGCCTGCAGGGAACTGGCTTGCAACCCAGGCATGTGCCCTGACTGGGAATTGAACCGCGATCCTCTGGTTCACAGGCTCGTGCTCAATCCACTGAGCTACACCAGCCAGGCCACTACATTTCTTTGGTTATGCAATTTCTGGTTCAGTTTCCTCATCTGAAGAACAAGGGTGGGGGTGGGATGGAGGGCGAGCAGGATTGCAGGAACACCCATGGCCCGTTTCCAATATTCTATGATTTTAGCAGTGTGGATTTTAAAATAATGCTTCTAACAGTCATTTAATAGAATAGCGTAGTGATGCCTTCTCAGGCATTACTTCTCAGTAATGCTCCAATTTATAGCTCTCTGGGTGAGGCAGTACATTAGAGAGTCCACCAAATACAAGAGTAGCTGTCTAGGATCTGTAAGAAAATGCATTTCAAAAAGTATACACCTGGGGGAAAAAGGATGTATAATCCAGTTTCATCTCTACTTAATTTATTTTGGTGAGTATTCTTTAAAATGACGCCTACACACTAATGATGATGCTGTTTGCTTATTCATTAGACTGAAATGACTCACCAACCCTGTACAGGGAGCCTGCGCGGAAGGAGAAGTCAACAGCAGGGAGAGGAGATTTTTCACTCGGCACTGCATGTACCGAGTAAAAAGCATCGCTGTCCCTTCATCCGTGGAAATGCACGTTAGAAAAAGCCACAGAATGATCCCAGGGAGCAGACAGGAGGTTTAGAAAGCTATCCAGCAGCTACATCCCATTCCGTTCAACTCCTATTTCTAGCTGTTCTGGGACAGCCATGTTGGCGGGACGCTTCCCACGGAGGCGGAGCTGAGCTGTGGGAAGGGCTATACACAGCTCTGAGCCCTTAGTGCCAGCTCAGAAATTCTGTGTGAGGGGCAGGAGAACTCACACTGTTTTATTTAAAACTAAGATGATGTTAACCATGAAGAACCTCATGTAGAAAGGTGGTATGGAACGGTGGAAAGAATAAAAAGTCGAGATAATGACAAAATTTCCAGCCTCAGTTTACAAGATTTGGCAAATGTGTATAAATATGTAATGATGCTCTTGCAAATATAAGGCATTATGTTACAGTAATCTGTATTGCCTAGCTAAGTCATCATAATAATAGAAAGTAGATCAGCAAATTGGTGAAGCAGTTGTCCACTACCTGAATTACCTTAATAAAGGCTGGATTTTATTACAGGCATACCTCAGAGATATTGTGGGTTTAGTTCCAGATCGCTGCAATAAATGGGTATCTCAGTAAAGCAAATCACACATTTATTTTGTTTTTCCAGTGCAAAAAAAATTATGTTTATACTATGTTGTATTCTATTAAATGTGGGATAGCACTATGTCAAAAATGTATATACTTTGATTTGAAAAATACTTTATCGCTAAAAATTGCTGACCATCCTCTGAGTCTTTAGTGAGTCGTAAATCTCTTGCTGGTGGAGGGTCTTCGTGGCTGCTGACTGGCCAGGGTGGCGGCTTGGCCGTGGCACTTTCCTACAATAGACAACAGTGAAGTTTGCCCCATCGACTGACTTCACTTGAAACTTTTAGAGGCCATTGCAGGTTTGTTAAATGGCCTAATTTCACTATTGTTGTGTCTCAGGGAACAGTGAGGCCTGAGCAGGGAGAGAGACTGCTCAGCTGCTTGGCAGAGCAGTCAGGACACACAATGTTCATTAAACAAGTTAGCCATCTTATTACATGGGTGCAGTTTGGGACACTCCCGGACAAGTGCAATAGCAAAGTCAAGGACCACTGACCACCTCATCACCATATCAAATACAATAATAATGGTAATGTTTAAAATACTGTGAGAATTGCCAAAGGGGACACAAAGACAAGAAGTGAGCAAATACTGTTGGGAAAATGGTGCCACAGACTATTCAACACAGTCACCACACTGCTCCAGTTAGTAAAAAGCACACTATCTGCAAAGAGCAATAATGAAAGGTACCATAGAACAAGGTATGCCTCTATAGGTCATTTATGAATATTAACACATTACATACATTTTAAATAATATTGTTGAGTTTGACTTACTTTCCTTTTTTATTTTTTAAATTATGTTTTATTGATTATGCTATTACAGTTCTCCTGATTTTTTCCTCATGGCCACCTTTACCCAGCATCCGCCACTCCATCAGGCAATTCCTATACTCTTGTTCATGTCCATGGGTCATGCACAGAGGTTCTTTGGCTACTCCATTTCCTATACTGTACTTTACATCCCTGTGGCTATTCTGCAACTACCCATTTGTACTTCTCAATCCCCTCACTTCTTCATCCATTCCCCCAAATCCTCTTCCATCTGGCAACCATCAAAACACTGTACCCATGATTCTGTCTCTATTCTTGTTTGCTTAGTTTGTTTTTTAGATTCAATTGCTGATAGGTTTGTATTTATTGCCACATTATTGTTTGTAGTTTTGATATTCCTCTTTTTCTTAAATAAGTCCCTGTAACATTTCTTTTTCTTAAATAAGTCCCTTAACATTTCATATAATAATGGTTTGGTGATGATGAACTCCTTTAGTATTTTCTTGTCTGGGAGGCGCTTTATCTACCTTCTGATTCTAAATGATATCTTTGCTGAGTAGAGCAATTTTGGCTGTTGGTCCCTGCTTTTCATGACTGAATATTTCTTACCAGTCCCATCCAGCTGGTTTCTCAAAAGCTTCTTTTGAGAAAACAGCTGATAGTTTAAGGCACAGGTGGCAAACACAAGGCCTGTGGGCCGAATCTGGCCCTCCACCTTGTATCATCCAGCCCGGCACCTTGTTTCTTCCACCCAGCGGCAGCACTGAACTCTCACTTAACTGTTCAGGGGTAGTTACGTGTATCAGTCCTAAAATTACATTCAGCCCTTTGAAGGCAACCTCAAGGCTGGTCTGGGCCCTGGTGAAAATGAGTTTGACACCCCTGGTCTAATGGGACCTCCCCCGTAGGTAACTAATTTCTATTCATTTGCTGCTTTTAAGATTCTCTTTTTTATCTTTAACCTTTGGCATTTTAACTATGCTGTGTCTTGAAGTGGTCCCCTTTGGGTACAACTTGTTTCGGACTCTTTGTGCTTCCTGGACTTGCATTTCTATTTCCTTCACCAAATTAGGAAAGTTTTCTTCCATTATTTTTTCAAATAGATGTTGAATTTCTTACCCTTTCTCTTCTCTTCACACCCCTATGGTGCAAATGTTATAATGCTTGAAGTTATCCCACAGGTTGCTAACAATATTTCTCATTTTTTGGACTCTTTTTTCTTCTTCTTGTTCTGATTGGTTATTTTTTGCTTCCTTATGTTCTAAATCATTGATTTGATTCTGTTTCATTCACTCTACTATTATGTCCCTGTGAATTATTCTTTATTTCATTTAGTGAAACCTTCATTTCTGACTGGATATTTTTTATGCTGTTGAGGTCCTCACTAGGTTCCTTGAGCATCCTTATAAGCAGTGTTTTGAGCTCTGCAGCTGAGAGATTGCTCATCTCCATTTTGTTTAGCTCTTTTTCTGAGCTTTTGATCTGTTCTTTCATTTGGATTATGTTTTTTTGTCTTCTTGTTTTGGCAGCATCCCTGTGTTTGTTTCTATGTATTAGGTAGAGCTGTTATGACTCTCTGTCTTGGTAGCATGGCCTAAGGTAGTAGGTGCCTTATAGATCCAGTGGCATAGCCTCCCCTATCTCCCAAACTGGGTACTCAAGATGCACCCTTCATGTGGGCTGAGTACACTCTCCTCTTGTAATTGAGCCTTGATTACTGTTGGCAGGTCAGTGGGAGAGATTTACCCAGACCACTCAGCTGCAAGAACTGGCTGTGACCACTGACCACCAACCTCCTTCCTCCACGAAGGATCAGCTGTGCAGGGGCAGGGTGGTGGTGGTCTGACGTGGTCTGTAGCTGTCCACTCGATATGCAGGCTCTGGGGCATCCTGGCTGATACAGGCCAAAGTCAGCTCCCACCTGTATTCTGCCTGTAGCCACTCTGCCTGAACTAGAAAGCAATCTGAGATGGCTGCTACTTGGGCTGCTTCCAAATCTTGGCTATTGTAAATAACACTGGAATGAATGTAGGGGTGCACATATTCTATCAAATGAGAGTTTTGGACTTCTGCGGATATATTCGCAGGAGTGAAACTGCTGGGTCATAGGGCAGTTACATTTTTAATGTTTTGAGGTATCTCCATACTGCTTTCAACAGTAGTTGTACCAGTCTGCATTCTCACCAATAGTGCAAAAGGTTCACCTTTCTCTACATCCTCACTGGCGTTTGTTCTATTGATGATAACACTTTACAGGTGTGAAGTGTAATCTCATTGTGTTTTTAACTTGCATTTCTCTGATGATTAGTGACATTAAGCATTTCTTTCATGTCTAGAGGCCATCTCTTAAGAGCGGTGTCCTTTGCCAGTTTTTAATTGGATTGTTCTTTTCTTTGGTGTTGAGTTGTATAAGTTCTTTACAAATTTTAGATATTAACCCCTTATCAGATGTATACTGGTAAATATATCCTCCCATTCAGTTGGTCGTCTTTTCATTTTGTTGATGGTTTCCTTCGCTGTGCAAAATTAATTTCTTTACCTTCCGTTATGTTATTTAACTTTAAATGGAATGAGGCTAAGAAAATGGGAATTTTAGAGATGTAAAAACATAATAAAATAATTTTATTAACAAAAATTAAGATAAAAATCATGAAAATATTTTATGGGTGGAATGTTTAGTCATTATATAGAAAGAAACTATAAGAACTGCTAACAAAAGTACTTATTTTTAAATTCATGAATAATAAAGATTTGAGAATTAGACCTCAATCTCCATAATGTTATACATTAAAAGAAAAAACAAAATACTTTGCTGCTTTTCTTTTTTTCTGAACTCACATGGAAAAATAGGAAAACTCTAAATCTTCAAATTATTTATTTTTCTTCCTATTATTCTTGAAGTAATCTTTTTCTTCCTCTCTTAGGAGCAGATGTTCAATGAGCTCCTTACATATGATGCACCTCATCTTCTGCAATATTTGGACACATACTTGGGGGAAAAAGAGTGGTTCATTGGTAACTCTGTGAGTATGTTTCACATCTTAAAATATATAAGTAAATATATGATATATTCATTTATGTGTGAAGATAAAGACTTATTAAACCTTACTGAAAAAAAAGTTACCCAGAGAGAGAGAGAGAGTGTAAAAGAACAGCAATGAAAGCTAAAATCCTTTGTATTAAGCTTTTATGGTATATTTAACTTTGAAACCATAAATTAAAATATTTTATATAATTATATAACAATAACAAAAACATTTTTAAAAGTTATTGCTGCAAAGCCAAAGCAAAATGAAACAAATGAACGTGTGTCAAATTGCTGCATAGAATACATAGGGAAGCACCTATATGCTCTACTAGTGAAGAGCTACTTTAAGAAATAGTAGTATATGTTGCCCTGGCTGGTGTTGCTCAGTGGATTGAGCATGGGCCTGCAAACTAAAGGATCAAGGTTCAATTCCCAGTCAGGGAACATGCCTTGGTTGCAGGCCAGCTCCCAGCAGGGGACGCATGAGAGGAAACCATACATTGATATTTCTCTCTCTCTCTCTCTCCTTCCCTTCCCCTCTAAAGATAAATAAATGAAATCTAAAAAAAAAGAACCTCTGAAACATAAGAATATATCGTATTTAAAAAAAAGAAATAGTAGTATATGTAAAACATAGTAATTTGACTATATACCTCATAGATACACTCTCAGAACAATAAATAAAAATTGTACATCATTTTCAGTAATTATATTTTTGGTGGTACTGGGACAGTGGTATTATTTTTCTGATATCAGTGTATCTATATTGTGCGTAAAGTAATAAGAAATTTCAGGGACATCATTGAGAAGCAGGACCTTTTATGAGAGAGAAAGACAACAGAGCTATAAGATCGGTGAGGTTAAGTAAACACCTATTTCTGAATGTGAACTAGATGCAACAGTAGAAACTCATGATGTACTTTATCCTGTGATAAATAAAAGTGCATTTTGTGTCTTTTGTTCTTGAAACAATGACCAACACAGTTGTCCTGGGCACTCCTAAGCCCGAGATTGGTCTTCAAATCCTGAAAGGAGCTAGCGCTTCTTGGAGAAAGGCTCATTCTCAATTTGGGACAGGAAATGTGAGAATGAACGAGAATTCCTTGTCACAAGAGAGGGAAATAAATTATCAAAGACAACTGCGGCTGTGTCAAAAGATCTCAGAGTCAACTGGAAGAGGCTCTTATTAGCCAAAGACAAACCAAACTGTGATGAGAATATGAACTACATGGATTGAAACCAATCAAAATGAATGACTCCATGAGTATGATGTCACCACTACAACCAAACACACACACACACACACACACACACACACACACACACACACACACCTCCAAACCAAAGTTTCATTGGCTAATTTTAGAAGATGCTATGGAGCCAAATTATTGTTCTGAAAACTGCCTAAAACAAACAAGTGGGAAAAGGGGTTGAATAAAATCTATTGTATCTCAGGATAACAAAAATTGATAGCCAAACTTTTCATAAAAGCATTTAGTAAGTTAGAAGGAGAGATTAAAATAGGATATAACCATTTTCCAACCTCTGATGACTTAGAGGACCTAGGCATTGAGTATCAGTAATTATTAATATAAAAAGTGAGAAAACCAGATACTATGGACCAACTGACAGAGGAACACACAACCACCTATGAAGTAGCTACACCAAAAAATTCAAATCTAAATCTGGCATAGATTCTGTGGTAGGTCAGGGTCCTTGCCTCTAAGGAGACTGCATTCTAGAAGACAAGATGCAAACTACTTTTTGTGGCTCTTAGTGGCGTATTCTGGTCACTGTCTGCCGAGTCCTGGGGTGACAAACAAACTTTCCACACTAAATCAACTTCCTACCCCACCACACAGCCCTGCATTTCTTCCCACTGACTCTGTGATAGCCTTTCCTAAAATGTCCCTCTCCCTGTCCTATTGATCGAATAATTTCCAAGGACTTGCAGTGTTTGTTTTGTATGAACTTTCCCTCGTGAACTTTCTCCTGAGTCCATCTCAGCCCTCTCTGCCTTCCTCCTCCTTCTAAACACTCTGGTGTTTTCTTTGTCCCTGGGACACAGGTCCTGCTCCTGCCTAAGAGCCTATACACTTGCTGTCCCTCTGCCTGGAATGTTTAACGCCCAGATGGCTACATATTTGGATCCTTTTTATCATTCAAACTGCGGCTTAAATGTCACTTCTTAAATGTCTTTCCTCCCTGACCACCCAAGAATCCCTCTCATACTTCACTTTTTCCTCATGACCCCTATTACCACGTTTGTCTGTCTTTCTGCTTCTACAATGAAAGCTGTGTCAGAGATGCAGGGGCTGGCATCACCTCTTGCTCTCCCATTAATCCCAGCACCGAGACCTGAATGGAACATAGTAAGTGCTCCAGAAACTTGTGTTCACTGAACTCTCACCAACACTCTCCTGGTGGTGTAACATACCCCAATGTGAGCAACAAATGTCGGAAGCCTTTAGGAGTTTATGATGGAACTTTATTGGCCAAAGTTTCAAAGTTTTACCTGCGCAGGGGCGAACTCTCGGGGTGCCTCCGGAGACACGGTGCCAAGAGGGCTGCAGATGAGAGTCACGCCTGGCGCTTACAGCCTGGGGTTTTTATTGGGGTGAGCAAACAAGCAAATACAGAAGCAGACGTAGCTGTTAGCAATTGGCTATTTTGAGAGAACACACACACATCTCTGCTTACTACAATGGATACTTTTCTGCAAAGACAAGGCCAAGCAAAGGCAAGGTCATACACGGGCGGTTTATCTCGTTCAGCACTCTTTGTACTTTCTCTAATTTTTCTATCTCCCTTGCTGAGACAGTCTGGTGCCTGCCTCGGGTTCCTCCTTGCTAATTTTATCTAATTCTGGCCTAACCTAACAGTGGACAGATGTAAGGACGTTCATAAAATCCTAACAGTAAGTATTATCAAATTCTATACAAAAACAAAGCGACTAGTCCAGATTTAGACATCACTCTTTGAGCAAAAGTAAGGTCACCGAGATTGGTTTTAGTCACAAAGGGGAAAGAAAGTATACAAGGGTAGGGCCAGACCATCATCACCCTAGTACAGTGGCCAATGGGACAGTTCCACCTACAGCCAGACACCCTCATGTTAAGTTTCCTGATGTGGTGCACCCTAATGTGTGAGCCAGAAACGCTAACTTGGGACCGTGAACTCTGCAGGGATAACTTGCACCCTGTTCCTTTACACCCTGTGGTATAAAGCAACAAGGTAAACAAGAAGATCATCACACAAATCCTGAAGACAGGACATTGTGTAGGACTAGTGTAGAATATTCAGTAACTCAGTGACACGGTAAGTGTTGTTCTGAATTAAGAGAGTTGAAGGACAAGATCGGATGAAATGCATGGTCCTGGCATCGATTTTACTTTGTCCAATGAAGAACATTTTTTGGAGCAGATGGAAGAGTATTGATTGGGTACTAGGCAAGATGAAAATGTAGTCAGAAGGGTGGGGATTAATCAACTCAAAAAGAAATATGTACTGTAATATCTCCTGCTAGTAAAAATGCACACACACAGAGGTGTTAATATTAGTAATTTTTGGTGTTAGGACTATGGTGTTATCTGTAATTTTCTACCATACATGTTACCAGACCTTGGATGCCAGATTCTTGAGTCTCAACATCATAGAAATGAGCACTGAACTCAGTACAGGGTTGAACAGACTGAGTTTACTGAGAAGAGCTGCGCACAAGGGAGTCGACCAGAGAGGAGAAGCCGAGCCCCCTGAGGGGCTCTACAGCTGGCTCGCCCGGGGGCCTCCGGGTGGGCACGGGACTCTGGAATGAGGATGAGATCAGTTGTCCCACGATGGTCATCCAGGGGCGGTTGGTCCCAAGGTGGTCACAAGACGTTTTCTATGGTCAGTGAACCACCCAAAGGGCCTCTAAAACGATGCTTGCTCAAACATTCTAGTTACCATTTAATTGACAAAGCAGCAATGAAAGGTACTGCTGTACATCCTTTCCTTTAAGGATGTAGTTAGGCTAATTTCAACTAGGGGATTTTACTGAAAGCAAGGGGTCCTAGGCCTCAACGATGCAGGTCTTCGCGTCTAGGTGAAGTCCAGGTGTGGTCCCTGTAACCGTCTCACACACATTCCACTTGTGAAGTAACAAAAGGTTACTTTGAATTGAAAAGAAACCACTTTTAGATTAAGAAGCTATACCTTTTATGTTCTAATGGAAATTTGTGTTTCCTTTAACCTAGGTAACCTGGGCAGATTTCTACTGGGAAATCTGCAGTACTACACTTCTGGTCTTCAGACCTGACTTGCTGGACGTCCATCCCAGGCTGGTAACGTTACGGAAGAAAGTCCAAGCCATTCCTGCCATTGCTGACTGGATACAACGAAGGCCCCTGACCAGGCTGTAGGAGACGCCGGCTGCCTGCACCTGGTTGTTGCTTACAGCTCTGCTGCCCTCAGATGAGCCTGCCTCACAGGCATGCACTGCACCCCCACCGAGGCTTTCACCTCTGCCACGTTCTGTCTGCTTCCAAAAAAAAAAAAAAAAAGAGCAGTTAGTTGCATCTTTTTTTTCCTTCCCAGAATAGTTTCACATCATTTACAACTGAGGAAAATTAGTTTAAACCAGGCCTTACTTTGCATAGGTTCTCACGTGCATAAATTTCAGTCACAATAGCTTATTAAATAACACATTCCCCCCACCCCCAAAATGGTTTGGACTTCAGTTACCATGGTGTATTGACAGTGGGTAATTGCATAAACTTTGCTGCTAGCTATTCAGTCCGCAAATCACTATGTAAATAAGGTGCACAGCATGACCATGACCGATGAAGTCACTTCTTTCAAAGTCTGTTAGGACTGGGCACTGCACACCTGTGTGTTATTCACGCACCGACGGTCAAGTGTGTAGCGGCACTGCCAGCTTGCTTCTCAGTGATAAAGCATCTTGGCATTTTACACAAACCAGTAACTGAAAAAGGGAACTCACCAACAAAGAAGAAAGTGTAATAAAGAAATGAAAAGTGCTAATACTGGGGTGAAACTCAAATTGAACATAAATGGAAAGAACCGTGAGAATGCTGACACTGATGCAGGTCAACGGCCTCCAGACTCCAGCTGTGCAGCCGGCAGAACTGAGCGAGGTGCACTTACAGATACAGAGGAGGAGAGTGCTGGAGACAAAGATGAAGATATCCCAGAAGAAGTGAGATGGGTATAAAACTTTGTATCAAGAGAGCAGAGATCAAAAGAATGAGAAGATACACCACAGACTGGGTGAAAATATTTGTAAGACTTATGATAAAGGACTATTATTCGAAAATATACAAAGAGCTCTTAAAAGTCAACAATAAAATGAATAATCCAAACGCACAATGAACAAAATACCTGAGCAGACACCTCAGCAAAGATAGATGGCGAATAAGCATATGAAAAGATGTTCAATATCACATATTACTGGGGAACTGCAAATAAAAACAATGAGATTCCACACCTGCCTGTTAGAATGGCAAAAATTCAAAACACCATACAAACACCACCACCAAATGCTGACAAAGATGTAGAGCAACAGGCAGTTTTACTCATTGCAGATAGGATTGCAAAATGGTACTGAGACTGCTTGGCAGTTTCTTACAAAACTGAACATACTCTTACCACACGATCCAGAAATTGCACTCTTTGGTATTTACTCAAAAAGGAGTTGAAAAAATGTCCACATAAAAACCTGCACATAGATTTTGGTGGCAGCTTTGTTGATAATTCCCAAACTTGGAAGTAACCAAGATACCTTCAAGTAGGTGAGTGGATAAGTAAATGTGGCACATCCAAACAAAGAAATATTATCTGCTTAAATAAAAAAAAAAAAAACGAAAACCACCAGGCCATGCAGACAGGGGAAATGTAAGTGCGTATTGCGAAGTGGAAGAAGCCAATGTAAGATGGCTGCACACTGGCTCACTGCCCCCCAGCAGCCCGTCCTTTTGCCAACTACCTCCTCTCCCCTGCACACCTTACCCTTGCCTTTCTCTCTCCTAAGCACCAAGCACGCTTCTGCCTCTGTATCTTACTCCCTAAGCCTACGCAGCCCAGATGGCTGACTTCTACCACGTCTGTACTTTTCTAAATAAACTTCCTTATAGGTAATTTGAAAAAATAAAACGACCGCATACTGTATAACTGCAGCTATTTAACATTCTGGAAAAGGCAAATTTATGAAGGCAGTAAAAAGATCAATGTTTCTAGAAGCTAAGGAGGGAGGAATGAATAGGTACAAAGGATTCTCCCATCAAAATTGCTTTGAATGGTGGATTTGTCAAATGTTTGCCACCAAGAATAAAACCTAATATAAACTACGGACTTGGGGTGGTTATGATGTCAATGCAGGTTCTTGTTTGGTACCAAACACACCATTGTGGTGCCAGGTGAGGGAGGGTGGGCGTGTGTGGGGGGAGGGGTACATGGGAACACTCTACTTTCTGCTCAATTTTGCTGTGATCCTAAAACTTCTTTTTAAAAAAATATTTATCTTTAGAGGGGAAGGGAAGGAGAGAAATATCAATGTTGTGTGTCCCATGCTGGGAACTGGCCTGCAACCCAGGCATGTGCCCTGACTGGGAATCGAACTGTAAAACTTCTCTTTAAAAAAAGTCTGTAAGAGAAAAAGAGGAACATTTTGTGACAATTAAAGAGCAATAAAATGTTGAAAGCTGATCCCAGTTTAGGATTATGACAATTTATTTGCTAAGGCATTTAAAAAATGTTTGCATCTTATACAAGAAGGTATTTAAAATTATGAAAACTTAAAACAAGATAATCAGTCTCATTTGTTTACACAGATCACTTAAAATATGCAGTCGATTCAAATAAAAGCAGTCACAGCAGGTTTCATAAGAAGTATGCCACGTCAACTGAAGTTTCACAACTTTTCAGGGCATCTTTTTTTCATGGAAGGACAAGACATTCCATCATCCTATCCTGTACCCAAATTAAATGCCTCCTTACTGAGCAACTGAACAAATGAGAGATTACAAATGAATCAGAGCATAAATCGAGTCACATATTAAAATTGAAAAAACATACATTTGGGGAAGTTTTAAAAAGTCAATTTCTTAATTTTATGAATCACATAAAATGTCTTAAGGTCACAGAAATGGAAACCAAATCTGATACTCCTATCTAACCACTACAGAGTAACACCAACTAGGAACAATATCAGTGTTTCAATATAAAAATCTACTGGCTTAAAGTTAAAAGCCTACGCGGTCAGGAATATGGTTATGAAAACACATACAGTATGTCTTCTTTGTGACTTAAAAGTAAAAGCTGCTTCAGTTGGGCAAGATATTACTCCAACCATGGCCTTGTATGGTCTTTACTGATTAATGGATTATTTTTAGACATCAGTTCAGTGAAGGGACTAAGAATAGATCCTAGGTAACAAATTCCAGTTTATTGAGAACAGACAATATTAAGCACATAACATGATCTCATTTGTGAGCAATTTTATATATTTTCAAGGGTAAAGGGAGAGGGGGTTAGAAACTATTAAAAAGGGTGTGAAAATACAACTTATGATCACAAATATTTTTATTAAGCCCAAGACATAATAAAGCATCATAGAGAGAACCCAAATACATTTAAGAACGTGGATTTAACAACAAAATACCCTACCACTGAAGATAGACGAATACAGAAAAGTCACGAGAAACCCACTGTGGGTTTTATTCTACTTTTATCACTGACACTACTACAGATGTCCCCGTCCCAGTCCTGCCTTTGCCTGCCTCCCATTCCCAACAGTGTGACTAAGTGACTTGGGTGCTGCAATGCAGGAGGAAGCGATGATGAATATGTGCAGATTCCTTTCAGCTCCCATTAGACTACTAAGCAGAATGCTTTCAATATACCACTGGGAGTGGGCAAATCTACTTACTGAGTCGTGAGTTTCCAGAGTCTATAATGATCTGAAGAATCACTTTAAGAGTTTTATTAGCCTTCGAACTCCAGAGAACTATACTACCGTAGCATGTTAGCAAGTCAGGATGCCCTGAAAGTATAATCTCCAATAACTAACAAATCTTTGATTTATAAATAACTTTATTTATAATGGTATTTACATAATAAAAACAAAACACATGAAACTCACAAGTTATACAAAGAAACTGATGTGTAATAAAACAGCAATATAGACTGACAGGCAAAAATTTAAAGAAAGACAATAGAAGTTAAATATCAAGTAGACAACTTTACTTCTAAATTTCACTTTGTCACCCACACTGAATTAGAATCGAAAAATGGCTCTCTCTTCAGGAGGTCCAGTACTGGAAATTCTGGAAACTGGTAAATCATATTTTGATAAAGAATGTAAAGGCAATGACCTATTTCCATGCAGTACCTAATGCTTCCTTAATATGAAGTCACATTCAGTCTGCTTTGAAGTGAAATAGCCTGTTAACCTGTTCTGCCAGGCTAGAAAAAAAGGTCACCAACATTCTGCTGCTGTGTGAAGATGTATGTGACAGGAATAAACTACTACTTAGAGAGTAATGAGAACTGGAGCAGAAGTGACTGGGCAACAGTTTCAAGAGAAGCAAAAGCCAGGAGAGGGAAATCAATGAACATGCACAAGAATAGGCAGAGTAGTATGCACAACAGTGCAGCTGGGAAATGAACAGAAGGAATTAACCCATGGAGCAAGATAAGGGCTTCTTTAGCTACTATTCACTGGAAAACAACTTAGTGCCTAGCCAAACAAATCTGTTTTAACAGAACTACTTGGGAGAACCTGGGGGTGTTAGTATATGGAATGCCACCTTTAAATTCAGGTTGAGTTCTTCTTGGCAGTGGTGAACATCTGCTTCAAATAGCAATAAAATGAAAGCTATATAAATCTATACAGCTGCATTCTTTAAACTAACGTAATAAAAAAGAACTTCAAATGAAACAGGCAAAAACAAGACATAAGCATTGTCAAATAAGGCACATGTAAAAATCTACACACATTATCCAGTGAAAGACAATATATATATATTTGGAGGTAGAAATAATTACAAAAATACTGACATTTCTAAAGCATTAGCATATTTGTTACAAACAATCACCAACTAATCCCCATTCAGAAAACTGTTTTGTAAAATGATTATTCAACATTTTTAGGACTACATATTTGTTGCTTTTATTGAAATTTCACATGTGAGCATCAGAAGAATTCAGTTAGTGGCAAAAAAGTTGTCCATACTATGAGAAATGTAATATGGAAATTATAAAAAGTTACAAATGTTCCTAAACCCCATGGTCATAATGTAAATGTCCTTGAGTGCACCAAGTTGATACTTCCTCATCATCGAAAGTCCACGATTCTTCTCTCACAGGCCCATTGACGTTTTTAGTAATGTGGCTATATCTGCTGGCATGCTCCCTTCGTCACCTGCAGGTCAGAAAGTGGCATTGAAAGTTTAACAAAAATACTGCATAGAACATATTCTTTTTCTCCAATTTTCTCTACATTTTATGAATTCTTAATCATCTTTTATGGCCTAGTTTGCTTCAGTGCTACTCCACAAAAAGGTTCTAAATCCCTATGTATACCGGGCTACTACCTCTGTGTTCACATGCATACGGACAGCACGGCATCTACGGGCAATGTTTCTGATTTGATACAGATAAAGGTATGTAAAGATACACAGACATAGGTTGGCTCACATCCTGTTCAAATCCACAGTATTTACTCCCCAAGTTTGCTAAGTGAAAACATTTATGTAACAAACCGAATAGTAAAAACAAAATTGAAGCTCTCAAATCTCAATCAAAAGAAATCACCTATACCCATATATTCAGTCCAAAGATCTGTCCAGAAAGTATCCACCCATGTACTATGAAAAAAGAGCCATTTATTAAAGATACAAGAAACATTGTACATAGGACAATGACACCTCAGTTCCTTTCAAAGTAGGCACCTTGGGACCTCACACAGTTCTCCCAGCATCTCATCCGCTGTTCAAAACACTGTAAAATCCTTTCTTGGAATCACTGCCAGCTGTCCTGTTGTATTTTCCTGAATCTGACTGATGGTCTTCAATCTCTTCCCTTTCAAAGATGATTTTAGTTTTGGGAAAAGCCACAAGTTGCAGAGCACTAAATCTGGGCTGTACAGGACCTGAGTGACCTGGATGATTTGCTGTTTGGCCAAAACACTCTGCATGAGCCATGATATGTGAGCAGGCCTCATTGTTGTAATGAAGCTTCCAATCACCAGCTGCCTGTAGCTGCGGCTACTTTCATCTTACTGTATTTCTCAACTGACAAAGAACACTGAAGTAGTACTGTTTGTTTTTGTGTGTGTGTGTGATGTGGAGAACCAGGTGACTTCCAGTGGTAAGACTGGGCCTTCATTTCTGAATCACTGAATCGTAGACTCACGATTCATCTCCGGTCATAACCTTCTTGAGGAAATCCAGTTCAGTGGTAGCGGTTTGAATCAAGTCATTAGCAACTGCAGCACAGTGCTGCTTCTGCTCTGGTAGTAGAAGCCCTGGAACAAATTTCGCCTCAACACCTTTCATGCCAAGAACCTGCATCAAAATCTCGGACACAGCAGTTTTGGAAATCTCCAGATCAGCTTCCAGTTCCCCCACTGCCAGTCGCTGATCTTTGTTGATTGCAGTCCATACACACTCAGCATTCTCAGGTGTTCTGCTGATTGCAGGCCTTCCAGAATGTGGACCACTTTCAACTGATTCTTGACCATCTTTGAAGCATTTGGGCCATACCTTTATTCATGCTGCACTTACTGCACTGTCCCCGAAAGCCTTCTGAATCATCCCAATAATTTCCACAAGAGGAATGTTCCAGCTTTAACGCCAAGTGTCACTGCTCTACTGGCTCATTCTGAATGTGATGGCCACACAGTGCACACTCACTCGATGGCGTCTACTGCCCCCACTGACTTGCACAGTGAATTCGTCGGTGTTCACACACGTGCACTCCATCCAGTCCACTCGCCTTGGCTGCCAGGTTACACTGATGTCGCAGAAACCATTCTCAACCATTCTCGTTATATTAATGGTGGCTGGACTTTTTCCAGATAAACTTCGCATAATCACTCATTTAGACTTAACTGATCCATCAATACAAAATTTTGAACATAGCCTAACAGCGAGGATTAAAGTATCCACTATAAATGATCTTTTCCTAATGTTGGCCCCATGTTTCAATCAAATGGGACCCTCAGTCTCCTGACACTTACCCAGGAATTATTCATGATTTTCTAAGATTTGAAAACACCTGTCAAGGTAGCATTAGAACCTAGTCATCCTTGATTAATTCAGTTAATCACTTCGATTGTTTTTAGATG